ATTTTATTTTAAATATTTGTATTTTCTACCTAGGTAAAATTTTTTAATTTCCAAAACATTTTATTAAGGAGAATTAAAATATTAATAAACTTGGGCTAAAAAAAAATAACCAAACATTAAATTACAATAAAAATTTTGTTTTAAATATTAATTGCATTGTGCACCTACGGAAAATTTGTTATTAAAAAATACCAAAAAAAAAAATTAAATTATATAAAATATAATATATATAAAAATAAATATATAAATTGAAATCATAAAAATAAATATAAATATATAAATTAAAATTATAAATTAAATGTCATCATTTTTCGTAAGGAAATTACGCATAGCAGCCGCTGTCGACACTTCAGCGATTGCTTTAATACTGATGAGTGCACAAATTTTGCATTGTTTGCTGGAGGCGTGTTTAAAAAATTGTTGGTAAATTTAATGTGTAATGGAGAGAGAAGACTTCGTGTGTTTGTCAACGCGCGTTGATGTCTAAAGGCCACTTTAGTCAATGCACCACTCTCCTTGTGTCCTCCTTATTTCATTATTTTTCTCCCTTATCATGGATAAAGCCTAAATAAAATGTGTACTTTTATTATATATAAATTCAAGTACAATATAAAATGCTCACCAATAACTTTTTTGTGTCATTCATTTTATATATATTTTTATGAAAATTTTTTTTATAAAATTATCTGCAGGTATTTTTGTATTTACACGTATTTATCAACTACAAATTTGTTTAAAATTTTTTTACTTATCATATGTTTATTGATTTAGGCAATGATATGAAGTTATTCTTAAGCAACCAGAAATTATTCTGCAGGTAGTTAGACAACTTACATATTACATGTTTTCGGTAATTTTGTTCATACATTGAACATGTTTTTATAAACGTGTTTAAAAGAAAGCTCTTTAAATAATCTTTGTGCTGTAACGACAATTTTCCGTCGCTCTGATTGCCGAGGTAATACTCAGGGGTTGGTCCTTGGTCGTTACAATAAAATTTATAAATGTTAGAAGGCCGTGTTTCAAATTTTGTTTTAATTTTCTTTTCTTTATTAAAGTATTTATTTTAAAACTAATAATCGTCTTAATTATCCTATGTTTCTATCCTATTACAGGATATTGATTTTAATATTGATATTGATATTGATGTTGCTATTGATGTTGATGTTGATAGTAATTTCCTTTCTTCGATGTCAGCGTATTGTTCTTTGATGGTTTTGTGTATTTCAGCTGATTTCCTTTCTTCTATACCTGTTGTAAAGGGTTATCAATGTTAATATATAGACGTGTACACGCCTATATAAGTTTTAGTGACAAAGGATAAACGTGTTCACGCTTATCCACGGATTTGGTAGCAAATTATAAACGTGTTCACGCTTATTATTTTGCTGGAGAAAGGATTTAACGTGTTCACGCTATTCAAGGATTATAAACGTGTTCACGCTTATGCAAGGATTTGGTAGCAAATTATAAACGTGTTCACGCTTATATATTTGCTGGGGAAGGGATAAAAGATATACATATATAAAAAAAACAAAAAAATAATATAAAGGTGCTTCTTTATAATTAGCTCCGGTAATGTTTCCCAATGCTTCACTTGGCGAGTCTATCATGAAGTCCGATGACTTCAAAGGTCGATCACTAACTGCCTCTTCTAAGTAAATGCGTCTTCTTATATACGCATCAGACCAAACCTTAACGTAGCGCAAAGCTTAGTTTACAGCTGGCTTGGATTTTTGACGTCATTGCTGTTTTGCGCTTTCGCCGTAGTTAATATGCGCGCGTATCAATTTTTACACAAAGCTCTTTGCACAAAAGCTTTTTTGACGTTTCTTGTGTTGTGTATTTGTTTTGTTTTGAAACGTGTTTAGCTTAGTGTCGGTAGTGGCGACTTCAAATATTTATATTTATTTATTAAAATAAAATAAATATTAAAAATATTAAAAAGTATTAGTTTAAATAATAAATAAATAAGGTAGATACAATATTTGTTTATTTGAATATATTTTGCATTCTTTTAATTTTTCAATGTAATCTTAGGTTTAATTCATTGTGATGCTGTTGCGTGCATGCGGGGGTGGCTTTTAGTAAGTTATTTACCTTTAATATATTAAATAAAAATTAACCAATTTTTATTTCAGGTATTAACTGCACACTAATTAGGTTGGTTGGAAAATAGGTTGGAAATTGGTAAAAATTTCCATCCTTACAGTGCAATATCGAAAAAAAAATTTTCCTACACATATTTCCCACACCAAAACTGTCAAAAATTAAAATTGATGTGACGACACAGCAAGCGAAAGAATCGATGCTTTACCGATAATGCATCGATACTTTGGAAGCAACGATCGATGCAACTACCATACCAAGTAAATGCAATTTTGTCTATTACATATCACAGGAAAACCATCGATGCTGTATTCATACCTAGAACAAAAAAGATAAAGAAAAGAAACTGAGAGTTATAACTTTACTTTTATAACTTTAAAGGAACAAAGTATTCTTTTTCAAAAATAATCTTTGGTTAATGTTGAATTATGAAAAAATTTTTGAGTGCACAAAATATGGCATCTCTGTTGATTTCGCGGGCTATCATTCTTTTGCAATAATTTGTTGTGCTTGTAGTCGGTGGTGACATACTAAGTTTTGTCTCTTAATGTACACGAATATACGGAATGGATCGCGTCGGTTCACAGATTTTAAAAAATTTATTATCAGAGGATGAGTTAAAACACATACCATCAGAAACTCAAGAAAAATTGATAACGCTTATTGACAAATGTTCGGATGCATTTTACAAAGGAAAAGCTGCTATCAATCGCCTCGGTAAGTAAAAATTATATTATGTAGATACTTCAAGGAAGTTTTGCGTAACAGTACTGCGAATGCATGCAGTTTTAAATCTAAGCATCGCTCATTATGTATTTGGACTAAAAAGTTTTATCATCTATGCATTGTTTTATCTATAATATGTAATTTGTCTGAGTTTATGTCTGTTTGCGACAATTAATATTTCGAATTTGTAGAACTCACTTAAACGCCTAGTTAAACTTTTTATCCAAAATGACTCAAATACTGGACTTGACGACAAATGTGTTTAGACATTTATTAACTTCAAAATAAAATATTTACATAATCTAGATTTAAGAATTATTTGTTTAGTATTTTTGTTTAATAAAACACAAGTAAGTGCAGATCCATTGTCTTTCGAAAGTGAATGATAAATAAACCCAATAGTAATTACTCTGCTACTAAATTAATGAAATGTTTAAATTGATATAGCTAAAGTTCAGTTATTTAACAGTATTATATATGAAGTAGTTGTTAGTACACCTTTTAATTCTTTAAGCGGGCTTTACACATCATACTTGGTGCGTTGAATGTGAAATTTGTGCCAAGTCTTATGTGTAATGGCAATTTTGCAGTCATCACGAGCTGACGGGTTGAAATCAAAGTATTTTGATTTTTCGCCCGACCTGCTCCTTATTGTAAATGCATTAAGAGACAACCCAGTACCTTAAAGCTAACTTAAAAAAATAAGGTGAGAAATTAAATAGGAAAAAAAATAATTTAAATAGTTAGTGAATAGCATAACAATAACTTACGTAAAAACATAAAAATTATATTTATTGATTAACATTAATAATTTGAATAACAAAACATAAGTTAATATTAAAAAAGTTTCAATAAAGTGAATAATACAGCAACAAAAACAAACTAAATCAATGATGAAAAGGAAAGGAAAAAAATTAATAAAAATAACAGGATCAATAAAAAAAGCCAAAATTAAAAAACAAAACAGGACAAATAAGAGTGACGTTGATAGTTCGTTTGTGGTACCTCTGCATTATCAATTTAAAAAAGCTTAGTAGTGAAGGCGATTTGCTTTAAAAGTAATTGGAGAAAATATTACCAATTAGCAACCATTACAAGGTAAAAAACATGTCATCCGGTAGCCAGAAGGGGACAGCACAATGCGGCGTATGCAAAAAGATGGAAAATGAAAAAATGGAGCATGCGACGCATGCGACGCATGTGATCAATGGAGTTATTTAAAATTGTCAATATTTACTGGGAAACCGGAAAAGTGACTTTTTTTACAGCAGCTTCAGCAATTCGACACGTTTATGCGGTTTCAGTAATGATAAGAATCTGCTACGATTGCAACGTTCCTTCAAGGGATAATGCTAGTCAGCTTCGTTAGGTTTCAGTCACTGAAGATGTTTTAAGTGAATATAGATTACATACAAGTGAGTTGCTACGATTGAAGATGTCAATAAGTGAAGTTAGCTAGATGACTCTATTTGTATAGCGTGGAACAAACGGATGTCGCTGCTTGGCGCATTTTTAGAAGACGTCAACTGTATCTTTTGCGGACGTCAACGCGATAGTCCAAGTAAAAATCAAACAAGCCAAAAACAAACCAAGCTACATTCATACTGACTAAATGGACCTGTCAAAACAAACCGATACGCAGACCTACATGTAGATGACAATGAAATAAATGAACAATCGTTAAAAAATTAATGATACTTCATCAAAAGTACTGAAACGTCCACCAATATTTATTGATAAGGTACATTACATCAAGCCTCTAATAGATCTATTATACGAACATGTATCGAGACAATTACCTATAAGTCCGATTTCGATTTGTCATCTGACTATTAGCCAGTAATCACTCTCAATGACTTGTGAAATTATGGAAAAATGTATTCTTCATAACAAAAATACTGATTGGAACAATTATCGTCAACTAATTACAATTGGACTAAATACCGAAGTCCAGTTGAAAACTGAATTTGATGTGACTAAAGCAGTAACGCATTTTAATTCATGTGTCCAAATGTGTGCCTGGGAATCAATTCCTCCGTCTTCAAAAAGTATTAAGCAAGAATATCCATGAGATAAGAAGACATTGGCAAAAGACGAGATTCCCTGCGGATAAAACTCGCATTTTACAAATTACGTAAACTCGTTAAAGTCCTTCTTATAAAGTACAACAATAATCGCACGTCCCTATACCTCCAAAACCTAAATGCTTCATGTGATACAAAATACTCCGTCTGGAAAGAGTATTCTCTGGACAAATATAACAGACCGATTGCTTATCAACCACATATACGCAAAATAGAAAACTCATGGGCTAAAAGCGATATTGAAAAAGCAGAAATATTCGCGTTATATTTGGACCAGGTCTTTAAACCAAATGATAATCTAAATATACCAGATATCATGCAACAAAGGATAAATTTTCTACAAGAGCCTTACCAATTAGAACTTCTAATTAAAAGATATTCCATTAATGAAGTTAGGGATGTAATAGCAAAGTTAAAAGAAAAAAAAAAGTTCCAGGGTACGATTTGATCACAGGCATGGCCTCATCTACTTAACATTGTAATTAAAACAAAAATAAATAATAAGGGTGTTTATTCTGCTACAGTGGAAGATAGCGCAAATTTCTATGATACCGAAACCAGGGAAAAGCGTAGAAGATGTCAAATTATATCGACATCTAATAAGTCCCAATAAGTTTACTTCCGATCCTGTCGAAAGTTATGGAAATTCTGTTTCTAAACCGCCTTACATCGCTTATTCAACAAAACAGATTCATTCATGAACATCAATTCGGTTTTCGCCAAAAACATAGCACAATAGAACAAATTCATAGACTTGTCAGAAATATCCATAGTGTGATAGATGGTAAGAAATATTGCATTGCGGCATTTATAGATATTTCACAAGCTTTTGATCGAGTATGAGGGCCTTCTTTTCAAACTAAAACTGAATCTACCCCTCAATTTTTTTCATATTTATTAAATCATACCTTTCGGCAAAGCACTTTTTCAATAAGCATGCAAACGAAACTACAGTACTTCATGATATAGGAACAGAAGTACCTCAAGGTAGCACAATGGGACCAATGCATTATCTTTTATATACTGCGGATCTTCCCCTTACCGATGAGAGTGTTATCGGTACATTTGCAGACGCTACAGCTATTTTATCAGTTGACAGTGACCCAGTTCGTGCTTCCATCAAATTACAAACCTGCCGTAACAATGTTTCTCTCTGAATGAAAAGTTGGCGTATCAAACCAAATGAGTCAAAATCTATTCAGGTAACATTTACTACAAAACGTTCTATGTGTCCGCCTGTTTTAAAAATGGAAAGAGCTTTCTCATAGTCAAATGTACATGAATAATTGTAAACACACTGCCTTCTGATATCTTTAGGGTCTCAGCTATCTCACACAATTTCAATTAACGATCAGATATAACCAATTTCTGGACTTTTTTGATGTTTTCTGGAGTAACCACCTCAATTGCACGGCCAGAATCATCGGTGTCAGTACGACCACGTTAAAATTCAGCAAGCCTATAACAAATGGTTTTTTCGATGGAGCAGAGTCCGAATAACACTTTTGAAGCCATTGTTGAGCTTGTACAGTATTTTTTTTCATCAAGAGGCAATGATAAATGAACACGAAATTGTTTTGAATCCATTGTTTTGAAAATAGCAAAAGTAGCTTCACTTAAATTGCTGTCACTTTTTCCTGACTAATCGAAATGTCATGAAATTTTACACATAGTCTTTTGAAGGTTGGTACTTCATGAACGTCATATAGATTTGACAATGGCAGCGCCATCTGTGTCTCAGTCGTACGACTTATTGACTGATGTATTACTTATTTCCTTGTACAATCACATTTTAAATAAAAGCATTTCTGTTCATGTTAGTTATTTTGTGTTCAAGTCTTAGCACCATAAAATAGTGTCGTAAATCTAATTTTTATATAAATCTAATTTTTAGTGGTATACTAATTTTTTAGCTTTTCAATATATTCTTTAGTTTAATAAATCTGTGTTTTGTATAAGAAATAGTTATAAAATCTCTTGTTTAATACCTCTTCTAATTGTAATCCATTGCATTATTACTTTTCCAAATTGCATTTCTGTTCGCTTATTCCAATATAACGGATATGTCATTTCTTGTATTCTGAAAATGGTTTTTTCGTAGTCTGAAACTTAAAAAAAATGTTATTTACTTTCATGGCATTTCAAAAACTGTAGATGTAAACAAAATATTGTTTCTTTAAATACAATTATTTATTTCAAACCGAATTGTACTCACCAGTTTTTCGCATTTCTTTTATATTCTGTTGTGTATTACTTTGAGAAAAATCTTTAATGGATGATTCATCAAACTAATAAATCTGTTATCTTTACAGTGTTATGAGTTATAATAATTTTGGAAGCCATATTCCAACGACACCATGCTGTTCTCCCCTGATAATGTGAAGGCCTCGAAAGCGCTTAGGCCTGATGGCATCTCGATGCTCATACTCAACAACCTCGGGGCCACTGATTTTTTAGTCCTGACACATATGTCCATTTGTTCCCACATCATTTCCAACGTATGGAAGATTGATAGGATAATCCTTTTGTTGAGCCACAGATTATCTGCAAAGCCAACAAATCGTACACTGTGTTCCACAGTGTCGGTCCCAACACTGATCCTTGTGGTACACCATTGGATACGGTATACTGTTTTACTACCTCATTTGTATCATAGAAAATAACTTTGTTATCAAAGTTATTTACTACGATCATGCGTAAGTAACCTGGGACCTCAAGATCGCGTAATGCATCCATTTTTGATCAGCCAGCTGTATTGAAGCCATTGTTTGCATCAAGCGTCAGTAGCTTGCTGTAGGTCAGTGTTTTATCGCCAAATCTTCGCCTGGTGCCACTTGTAGCTTCACGTGCTATCTCTGTCACCATTCGAATTGCGTCTATTGTGGATTTACCACTTCTGAATCCAAT